CTTTTAATCACACATCGGGATCCTTAGTCTTGCTTTTATCTTTTTTCTGCAAAGATTAAAAAGTTTTTTGTTAACAGGACTAATTATTGAGATAAAACTTACAAGGCATTCCTGCTATGCATACAAATGGCCAATATGGGGAGATTCAGCCATTACTAGCCTGTGTCACATCCGGAATTTCTATCTATTTCCGGATGTAACACAGGCTACCCATTACATGCAAGTCAAATTATTATAATGTATATATCATTCAATGTGCTAGTAAGATCTGTATCATCTTTTACAATCAAGTGTCTTTTGATAATTCAACTTGCTTGCTTCACAAAAATGCCTGTGCAAAGTCTGTAATTTTCACATATTTAGAGATTATAATATTGCCGGGTCGCATTGAATCTAAATCTGCATAAAGTACTTCTCCCTCTTGCTTCTTCTTTTTCTTCTGTATTGATGGAGGGGAAAAGAACAAAACACAAACGTAGCAATATTTAGTTCATAAACTATTTCATGCTTTCAGTTTTCGCACTCTACAGTCACAATCGGCTAATTTATGCGTTCTTCTTTGAATAATGGATACTCGTCCAATACTCCATTTTCGAATTCCAAGCGAATAACCGCTGTTTTATTTGACAGCAGATTCAATTACGCAAAGAACTTACCAAACACAAAAGAAAGCACGAGAAAATGTTGTTAGTACAAAGCGCTAACAATTTACATTTTCCCCGAGTTGAGGCTAACCCTGTATTCCCAGAAGGCTCATACCTTAGGTCTTATGAGAATACAGGGTTAGTCTCAAYTCGGGGAAAATGCAAATTTTCAAGGCTATTGTAATAACGACATTTTCTCGTGCTCTCTTTTGTGTTTGGTCAGGTCTTTGCGCAAATAAAGCAGCGGTTTTTCGCTATGAACTCGAAACTGGAGTATTCATCCTACTTGATTAAGTTATGCATAGAAAATGCTACTCATGTAAAGAATTATCAGTAGCTTTGTAGTGTATACCTTAGACATGTCCACTGCTGCATATGTAGCCGTTCCATCGCCTGTGTCTGGGTTGTTGTTGGTTGGTTGGCCATTGTGATCAGATTTTGGGCCAGACCGGGCATAGGGTGTCTGAGATTCGGATAATCCTGGGTTCTCTTTACCATTCACTGGGCTGTGAAGGAAAGAAATATGCATACAATTTAACTTGTGCAATAATATATTGGCTGATCATACATATTAGGAATCACCAAATGAATTCATTTGATCTGAATGCAAAGGAGAATTGGCAAAAAGAACGTACAATGATATACTTTGATTGTTTGATGTATTTTATAACGCTATTATTGTACTTACCGGTAGGGACTTCCTTCTTCGAGAGAAATATCTAAATACAAAAGAGCACAATTTTAAAGGAAAACTGAACTATCAATTATGAATCAAAGCATTGCATATCACATGAATAAGAAACTGATGAATAAGGTCACGTTAACAAAGAAACATTTTACCATAAAATATATTTTATGTGCGGAATTTTTTTACAGGCATATTACACAATAGGCTCAGTCTCCAGCCGTCAGGATTTCGTGCGCCCGCGATACTCTCTCCCCTGACGGCTGGGCGCATGGGGTTCGCTATTGTCAGTCTTGACCAATCAGCGAGTGGCCCCCGATATTTTCAGGGGCATATCATTAATAAATTAGCAGGCAGCAGTGTAACAAAATGGCGGACATTTCGTCGTTTGAGACTCTCTTTGAAAGTGCTTGTTTGAAGACTCTCAGTCTGAAGTCGTTTAGCTTGGACGAATTTAGAGAAATACAGCAAAAGGCTCTTAAAGAGATTGTTCTTGGAAAAGATGTCCTTGTTATTCTTCCTACTGGC